AGCGAAGAAGCGTCAGAGCGAAGAGGTCATGGTATCCAAGAGATCTAGATTTTTTTCCAGTTCCATTAATTCACTGATCGTGATCTTTTGCTGACCTTTTCCCTACAATTTTAATCACAAAGATACTTTAATGACAACGTCTACTTCCTGTAATGTGATATTAAGTGGAAAATACCACTTTTCTTACCCAACTCCACACCCGCCAAACTCGCCCCCATCCAGAAAAAAAAAATAAAAAAAAAAATAAAAAAAACTGGGTCATGTTTCTCAAAGCCTCGTACTGTACTTTATACTTTAATTTTTGATTTTCAAATACGGCTTCGGGCCATTTAAGTTGCCGGGATTACGAGAAACAGATCCTTGGTCCGCTTTTCTCAGAATTATTCTTTGGATAACAGATGTATCATGAGAAAAAAATAACACAAAGTATGAAACTAATTAATGAGAGCCTCTACTGAAATGTAACGAAATATGACATAGTTAAAAATTCAATTTTTGAGGGTTTTGCAGCGGCAAAAAACACGGGAATATCAGGCGCGATCGCGCTGTTGAATTTGTTTTTCACGAAATTGCCACGTACGTTATAAAGAATATAAATTTTGCTGGGATGTACAAGCAGCAAAGGAAACGAATCGGCAAAGGGGGGAAAAGATAATGTTTTAAAAATATATCATGTGAAGGAGATTAACTCAGATCGCAAAATAGAATATGAAAAGAAATTGAGGTTAAATTGTCCAAGATGATCACGCTGTGACAAAGACCCTTGGCGCTGGCTTCGTCTTGAGAGATAAATCAACGAGATTTTTCGCTCCACACTTCTATATTGACTAAATTATTTGAATTTAACGCTGATGACAAACTAAGCGAACGGAGGATGGAATGTTGTCCGTTATCAGTCTTTCAAAGTAATAAATTTCTTACAAAACACTTAATTGCGAGTAATTAGCGAACTATGATGATGGGAGTTTTAATTATTTATGTGTTATGTATAACATATTGCTATTTCACGAAAAGCAAAAAATTCTTGCGACAGCACTGTGAAATTTATAAAATTTGTAAGGGGCGATTACTGTAAAATCAAAATTGTTATTTTATCTTTCCTATGAAATATCACACGCGAAACAAAGACAGCTCTCTCCATTGCAAGAAGAGGAATGGATTTTAATGAAGCGGAAGAAGAAACAGAAAACAAAAACACCGAAAAACACTTGATAAGCAAGGATACAAACGAAAGCGATAGCGAGGAATACGACACAGACCTTGAGGAGAACTTTGCGGAGGAAAAAGATTTCTATAAAACACAAGAGGAAATTTACTTCCAAACGTGCCAAAAATTGGAAATTGCACCAGTTTCGAGATTTTTAAGGGAGCTCTGTTCCGAATCAGTGGATCTGCAGCACTATGGTATCGGAGATAAGGGTGTTATTGCATTTTCATCGGCGCTGGCACGAAACATAACAGTAAAGAAAGTAAACCTTGCTGACAACAGTATATCCACTATCGGAGCTGAAGCTTTGGCACTGATGCTTAAGGACAATTGCTTTATCACACAGCTTGATGTATCGCAAAATCGAATCGGAACCAAAGGCATCGAGTTTTTTGGTGAAATGTTGAATGAAAATGATAGTCTCGTCAGTCTAGCATTGGGAAGCTGCGGCTTGCAAGAAAGAGATATTCCAAAACTTCTCCAAGCTGATAGCATTCGCCTCAGAATTCTGAATCTGAGCGGCAACGAACTGAGAGACGTGGGCGCTATCTTGCTGGGGTCGTTCTTGATTTCTAACAGCACGCTTGAGATTTTGGACCTCAGCTGGAGTGCGATTCACCTACGAGGTGTTGCCGCTATAGCGAAAGGGCTCAAAACGAACACAGTCTTGCAGCAACTTGATATCTCTCGTAACAGCATATCTAACGAAGGAGCAACTGAAATTGGTGAGGTTCTCGCCGTCAACAGGTCGTTGCTTATTATAGACGTTAGTAACTGTGGATTTAACGAGATAGGTGCCGAGGCAATATCTGAGGGTCTGTCTTTCAATAAAAGCCTTCAAACGCTGAAAATTGGAAGAAATCTGTTCCATGATTATGGTGTTCAGAAACTCCTAAAAGAAATTCGTAACAACACTTCAAGTGCGTTGATGCACTTAGACATGGAAGACACCACACTGGACCAGAAATGCGTCCAAGAACTTCAGTCACTGATCCATGAGCGACCGGGGTTTACCTGTCAATGGGGGACGGTCGTTAAAGGTGGAGGCACTGTGGTTGAAATGCCAGCATCCCTCAGGAAAAACGTTCCTAAGACTCCCCTTGTGGTGCAGAAGTTTTTGTCTTTTGTTAGCAAACGAGGTTGGAGGCTGATCGATCTCTTCAGGATTATCACCAGGAACGATTTCAGCGCGCTTCGAATGACTGTAGATAGAGAGAGGTTTGTGGAAGGCCTACAAAAGCTAGGCGTTCATCTTAAGAGAGTGCAACTCGATGAGTTGTTTGACATTCTCGATGTAGATGAGGATGGCGTAGTTAGGTTTCAAGAGTTTGTGGCTATGAAACAACAGAAAAAAAACAATGGAAACTAAAATTTTATCTTAGCAGAAGCTCTTCACTGCCAAAATTTTTAGCCGGAAATGTCGGAAAAGAAAATGAATTTTCTTACTGCCTTCTTACATTGTTTCAGTGGAACAGTCAGAGCAGAGTAACAAAAAATTGGCAGCGAATTGTTGAAACTAGATAAAACAAAAATAATGAAAGTTTTCGAAAGATATCTCTAAGAATGAAATCTCTACATAAAAATTTTTTCTTTGGTTCAAAATGCCTCTTTTCCTAAGCATTCCACTGACCACATGAATAAATATGTTCGAAATTCGAAACATTATCAGGTTTTGAAGTTTTATGTAAACAGAAATTTGAGTCATTAAACTTTTCTTTAACCACTGTGGCCCAAATAATACAAACGTATCTTTTTCGAGACTGAAATGAAATGAGTTTGTAACTTACTTATCAGATTCTCAGTTGTAAAACAAATTGTTCTACATTTGAAAAAGGTTTCCTATGTAATGATAAATTCCAATATTGTAGGATATTTTACGCAAGGAAAGTTCCGGAAACCTTGTTTTTTTATCACAAGGATTTTTTTTTTTGCTTGTGTATTCTTTTTTGAACACAATTGTATTCACCTCTCATTATCTTAGAAACTGAGACAAAGTGAATTATTTAACAGCATTGCTTAAAACCTTTTGTCTAAAAAAGATCCCACGTAGAGAAATGCTGCAAGTCTAAAGTAATTTTTTCTATGTCTGTATAATCATTGAACACATAGTCCTTAATCCAATAATTGAAAGAAGTCTCTCACAAGTATTTTGTTTTTCAGTGGTGAGTAACTCAGCAAGCCTCAGGCTAATATGTTTTCAATTAACATGGTGTTTTTCCAATCGAAGTCTACGGACACTTTCATAATAAACTCTGCTACTAGAAGCCCTGTGACTAAGTAATTTGTCAACGTCTCTTAGTAAACCTATGTTGCACAGTTGACTAGCTAGATTAAAAACAGAACCAAAGGAGACTGCTAATATATATTTGACTGGATTTCTAGTGCTGGGGCCTTTTCGAGGAAAACCTAACACCGGCACAGAACTCAGTGAAATCTTGGGTCTGAAAGTACATGTTGCAAAGTATCTAAAATACATTTGTTGTCTCAAGGGTAGAATCTATACCTGTTTCTCAGCATGGAAGCAGGAAAACAACAAAGCCAAGGTTAGTGTGCAGAACAAAATATTTGTAAAAAACACCCTTAAGAAGACTAGACTGTTGAGGAGTGAATTCAGTGATCATTGTTTTAAGTGGACGAATCAAATACTAAGCTCACAGAGGAATGATCGTGCCAAAGGAGCCCTGTAATAATGGACAAAATCCCATAACCTTTCTATGAACTAAACCTCGAAGCATTTGCTTGCAACTATGGAAGAAGACGAGTTTTTCGACACAGACTTGGAAGACGAAAGTCCTGACGGAGAAAACGAAGAGAAGGACTTCGCCAGCCTCTCACGTTCAACACGGGAAGTTTATCTTGATGCCTGCAAGAGTAATAACATTGTGCCCGTGTCTAAATTTCTAAAGCAGTGTGGGGCGAATGACATCGAATTAAACTATTAAGGCGTTGGAGATTCCGGCACACGAGCTGTAAGTGCAGCATTAGAAGGATGTTTAAATGTAAGAACTTTAAATCTCCATGACAACGGTATCGGCGACAAGGGAATGATCTACATCGCAAGAATGTTGAAGAGAAACCCTTTTATCACCAAAGTCGATTTGTCTGGTAATCACATCGGCCAGGGAGCTGCTGACGAGCTTGGAGACACGCTCCTTCAGAACAACACACTGAAAGAACTCAACGTCAGCAAGTGCAACTTGCAAGGGAAAAGGATTGCCGTGTTTTGCAATTCTTTAAGATTAGATGCACCTTTGACCTACTTGAATTTATCATACAAGGACATTGGTGATAAAGGAGCCACCTTTCTGGGTTCAGCCATCAAAGTCAATGCGGTTCTTGATACATTGGACGTGAGTTGGAATAGCATTCGCGTAAAAGGGGCCCGAGCTTTGGCTGAGGGTTTGAAGTGCAATACTCGCCTTAGGGAAGTGAACATTGCTTGGAATGGTCTTCTAGACGATGGCACTGCTGCTATACAAGAGGCACTGTCGTGTAACCAGACGCTCAAGGTCCTGGATATTGGAAGTAACTGCATTACTAACAAAGGTGTTGCGGCCATAGCCAAATTTTTGAAGACAAACAAAAGCTTGGAGGTTCTGAAAACTGGACGAAATCCTTTCCAAAGTTACGGCGCTCGCGTTCTGTTGAGGGCTATTCAAAAGAACCCATCCAGCGCTTTGAAAGAACTACAACTCGATGATATCGTGTTTGATAAGGAGTGTGCACGTGAACTCGAAGTTCTCCTTGAGGGAAGGCCACTGTTCACCTGTTCCTGGGATATCAGTATAACAGGAGAGCGACTCTCAGATCAAACCAAGCGACCCGAGATCCTGGACGTGTACTTAGCCTTCGTACGTACGAAAGGGCTTCGTTTGATCGACCTGTTCAAAATTTTGTCGAAAGACCGCGATGGTCTCAAGCTCAGTAAAGAGGATTTCGTTGTGGGAATGAAAAAACTGAACGCACCAATGCATGACGTCCATATAGGAGAGCTCTTCGATAAAATGGACTCCAACGGCAATGGCGTGATCGTTTTTCAGGATTTTGTTCTTTGGACGCGGGAAAGATATCAACCTCAAGGGGCGGCAGCCCAAGAGGAAAGTGGTCGCCGCTAGCCACAAAGAAGGCCGCGGTACCTTGAACTTGTTATAATCATTAATCTCTTTGCTGTGTACATAAGATTAATGTTACTTACAATACCTAGAAAACTTTCTTTCTTTTGATGAAACGATCACAGTGATGAACTATTGATGAAAAGGAAAAATATAGAATGGTTCTGTAAGACATTCAAATTAAGTATCGAGTGGATACCCTTTAAAAGTTAGCTTGGACTTGCCTGGATGTAATTTCCAAACTGCTTCCTGGTTCTCACAAAGGAAGAACAAAACAGTCAACCATCTGTTCGCAGACGAGATTTAAAGTAACGAAATAACTTTTGTACCTTGCATTCAAATTCGGTCATGTGTTTGAGTGGTACGGAAAAGCTCCTGTATCTTCAGTATACTTACCTTATTCGGTGGTTCAACATACAACACGCACGGATATTTTGCGAGTTGCTCGGTACTTTGAATAAGCAAACCTAAGCAATACTTCCTCTGGCCTTATTTGAGCAACGTACCAATCGAGAGACGAAAACAACACAAACGAAACAATCTAAGTGTTTTTTAGGATAATTAAAAATATGATTGGCTCAAAAGTTGGTTGCCAAAAAAGTTATGCCTACAAAAGGAAAAACAAAGATTTGGTTATTTCAGTGCTGGTATTTTATTGGTTCGCTTTCTGTCCGTTTATTTTTCCTGTCCTACAGAATAATAACGTGGCATATTTTGCATGTTCCTCTGCCCAAACATGGTGAAATAGCGTACTAATGGAATAATAAGTTCATTTAACACCACCTCCCAGATTAAAGTGCACCTAAACCCAAAATTTTTTTCTC